TAACCACTGAATAACTCTATTTTTCAAACCCCACATTCTTCAGTTACTCAGAATTGTAAGTATAGCAGGAAAAGGTAACAAGAAGAGTTTAAACGATGTTACCTGTACAAAATGCAAATAAAGTTTCAATTAATAAACTTTTAAAAAATGTAACAAAGAAAAGTGTAAGTCAAATAAAAGATATCACATTACTCTTAAGAAGGTAACAGGAAAAAGAACTAATTTGTTTCCTTTTTAAATAAAGCTAGTTCTGCAAATATCCATTGGTCTACACCCATAGCACATAAAGGCCAACAAGTTTCTCTATAGGACTGAGGTTTATTAATTTACAGTAGCAACCCTAGTCCCAAGCACCTATAGCCAAGATGCAATAGAGGTGGTGTAGTAACACAAATGCTTTAGATTACCAAGTATGCCATGGGGGACATAAACAAAACCCACACTTCAAAATGGTCAAATTGGGTTTTTTTGATCACCGCTTTGAATTTTAACTCTTTTATTTACTAAAAAGGGAACTTCCCAGGAAAGGTTCTTTGGCTGATTCAGCTAGTAAATGCATGATGTTTCCATTCTTCCATGAAGTTCTGGAAGTGCTTTTCACTCTCCATCTGAAGGGGTAGAGAGGAGGGAAGAGGCTAATACAATATTCCTTTAAAAGTTAAAAAAAATTCACATCAGAGGAGAAAGAAAAAATTCTCAATGGGATTTTTATCATAGCAGGAACACAAAACTAGAAGAAACTTTACTAAAGCCCAGCACATCTTTCAGCACGGTGCAAGGATTTATGTGAGCACCTCACAACGCCAGGTCTGCATCAGGACACTCATTGTGCTGAGAACACACAGCAGCCACAATCACTCCAACAGTATACAGATTATTACAGTGGGATCTTATTTCAGTTCCCAAGTAGTTGGATTTAAACCCATAATGTAACAGTAATGCAAGGAGCTCCTGACACCCAGGTTCAAAAGAAAAAAAGCATCTTGCTATATCCTTGTGTTCAAGCCTCAAACTACGCTTTATGTGGTCACTGAATTATGTCTGTATGTTTGACAAAATGCCCCTCACAGAGACAAGAAGCTTACAAAAATTACACAGAAACAAAATGAAATTTAAGTGATTTTACTTATGTGCCTTCAATTTTTTCCCACAAGGTACAAAAATTAACAGTTTTAAATTATCTGAAAATTAGACCAAAAAAAACCCCATCACTCAAGTAAAAGCTCCTTCAAACAGAAAGGCTCACCATGCGTCAGCCCTGGTGGAAAAACTTCAAGTTCTTTAATCTGCTGTCAGAGACCTCAGATTTTGCCAATTATCTTAAAGTTATATATCTTAACAGCTTGTCCAGAACAAACTATATATAGATTGTTTGCTAAAGTCACTTGTGCCAGAAAGGAACAATTATATTATTTTCAATTACTGCTACCATTGCCTGAATTGGAATTTGCAACAGTAAATGTAAGGCTAGACATTTCTATCCAATCCTTGGGAATGTTTTTATTGAAAATCCCTCACTAAGGAAACAGAACTTGAGTTTATGGGCATTTTTGGTTGGTTGTTTAATGTTAATATTCCACAAGATGTGAATATCATTTATAATACTTAAAATACAAACTAATTTTAAAGTCATTTGTTCTTCAACACAGTTCTCATTTTGTAATTTTACTGTGCTCTCATTCTTTTTTGTATTTGTCTCTCCAAGTACAAACATCAAACTAAGCCAAGTAGTACTGGTTGAAGTTATTCTTGTTCCTCTAAGAAGACAATCTTCAAAAAAATAACAGCCCCATACTGTGCAAAAAATTACATTCAACACACACCATAACCCCCAAAAAGTTAAACTATTGACTTGACTGTGGTATACAGCCATCTGCTTCTGAATGTCAAGGCAAGATGTATAAAAAACAAATGCACATTTAAATCTTGCCACTTGTTTATTTTCATAGAGAGCAAGAATAAAACCACACAAGTGATAATTCCTTATTTCTACAGCCTGGAATTTGACATTTTGCAGGCTGCAGAGACCAAGGCTGCAGAAAATACCAGTGGTCCTGCTGCTCCTGAACAGGGCAGTGGCTCCTTCACACTCTACTCGATACCACAGAGCAAGGTAAATTCAGCAGCTTAATTTTGGTATTAGAGCTCAGCTCAGAGCCAGTCTGTTGTGCTCAGCATCAGACAGAGACACAAGTAAAGCAGCAATCCATACTTTCCAAGGACTGTGGTTTTCAACTGAATCAGACAGATGATGCCTTAGGGACCAGAATAAGCAACCCAATTCAGATACATGTTTTGATACCAGTCTTATCTGTGTGATGAGATTAACTGATGAAGATCACTTACATCTATTTACTTATGCTACACACTGTCTACATCAGTCCAATTTCTCCCACTCTCAAAACATCAGGATCTGTCTTCCCCTTTGTAGGCTGTAAAGGATCCTGTCTTTGCCTGAAGCTTGCCCTAGACCTATTAAATAAACCTAGATCTATTAAATAAAGTGTTTAAAGAGCCCACAAAACATTTAATTTGCATATTATCATCACTTCTGCTACTGCCTTAATTTTCCTTAGTTGTGTCAGAACAACATTTGTAACCCCAATCTTGTAACTTAGCTCTTTTGTCTCATCTGGTTTTCGTCCCTGATTTGACACTTCTTTAAATCACTCATAACTTGCCTTGTCTTCCATAGGTGCATTCATGTTCCTCTTTAAGTGATATGGTTTGTATTATGCACCACTCTCATTATGAAAATATTTTTTCAAGACATTCAGCTCATCAGTGCATAGCAAAAAAATAATCTATGCATTCCTATTGCCAGAATAGTTTTAGATCTAAATGTCAGTCTGTTTTTTCACTTGAAGGAAAAAAAATAGAGTCTGATTATATTAAGAAAACCATGTTTCTAGTGGGTGCCCTATCTTCTTTATATTTATCTGCAACTTTCAGATTTGTATTTGTAGATGAAATGTTTCTTGACATTATCAACCTAAAAGAAAAACCCAAAACAAAAAATAGCATACTTTGGTTTTCTAACAGTCCCCAGGAAACAGATTCTGGCTGCTACACTTATAAAATGCAAAATCCTACATTTGGGACAGTGCTCTTGACTGAATGACCAAAGGACAGCTTTGGAGAGAAGGACCAAAGGGTCCTGGTGGACAGTAAGTTGAAGCCAGCAGTGACAATAGCTAAGAAATAACAGACTGCACTGGCAGGAGCATGGGCAGCAGGACAAGAAAACCAATTACTCCTCTCTGTTCAGCACCCAGGAGATCACATCTGGAGAAGTGTGTTCAGTTTGGACTCTCAGTACAAGGCACAGTAGAGCAGGGCAAGAAGGCCACTAAGATGGTTGGAGGGTGATAGGGCATAGAAGGAACAACTGAGGGAGCTGGTTTTATTTGGCCTGGAGAAGAGGGAAATACAATTGCTGTTTTCAGCTGCCAAGTGGGGGTTAGGAGATGGAGCCAGGCTCTTCTTTGTGGTGTGCAGTCAAAGGACAAGAGGCACATTTTGCAGCAGGGGAAAGTCCTAAAAGGCACAAGTGGAAAAGGGAAAAAAACGTGTTCCCAGTGAGAACAGTCAAGACCTGGAAATATTGTCCAGAATTTCCATTCTGGGAGGTGTTCAAGACCTAGCACAACCTGTCTCCCAAGTCAGCCCTGCTTTGATCAGAGGACTAGTCTTGGACCTCCAGAGATCCCTTCCAATCTAGAACATCCTGCAATTCAATGTAGCACCCAGAAAATGAAAGCAGAACTTTCCACGTGGAAGTTAAGTGCTCCAAACAAATATTAATACCTTTCATCACGCTAACAGTATAGTATGCTCAATGTACAGCAAGTATAACTAACACCAGGATTAAAATCCACACACTGTAGGGTATTATGCCATAACCCACGTTTCCTCAGCTGTTACACTCTAGACCTCTTCACTGCCTGCCCTGCCAAATCCCTGGATAACCTCCCATCCACTTCATGCTCTTGACTTCTCCTGGTTTTCTCTAGTCCAGCCTCAATGGCCCTAGAGCCCCCTCAATCCCACCCTCTCACTCCTTTGACTAGCAGGCATCACATCATACATTTCATCTGACTCTGTGAAGTAACAGCAGTAGCAGCACTTCCAGCAGTACAGATGCTTAAACTCCTCTTTTGCTTCCTCTTGCATTTGACAAAATACCTTGTCAGGATTTCAGAGTCAGTCATTTGCAAGTTCCAGTCACTTCCCAAGTCTACTTTCCAATCTTAGAGACTGAAATCTAACAAACAGAGCAAATTTGGTCTTTTTAAGTTCCATGCTTTTAACATGGGAAAAATTCTGCCAAAAACTGGATGCCTGAGCTAAGGCAGCACATAGAAAGAGGAGAAAAACACCTCTCATTTCAAAAACCAGCACAACAAAATGCTTTTGTGTTTAGTTGTGAGGTTTTGTTCTTGAAAAATGTGTATGAGAGGATCTCACTCACAGAAACAAAACCAAAGCTTTAATACATGGAATATATCATACAATTTGCATGAATCGGTATTTTAAAAAACATTTTCTGTAATTTACAGCTAAAAAATCTCCATCACAAGTATTTGCAAAAGGTATTTTAAACAAATGTAAATTTACTTTACTAATACTTCAGTATAAAAAATACTTTCTGTTAGGTTTGCTACTTCCCTGAATTCAAGCTCAAGATCCTGATGTAGAATTACAAGGAAGATTGTAAAATAGGAGACTTAATTTTCAGAAATACTAATAAAAATAAAAACAAGGAGCTGTGTCTAAGTGTAGGATCTGCTTACACTGATTTCCACAGCCAAAAGCTATCATACTGATTTTATCACAAATGATAAATCTACACATTTGTCACACACTTCTTTCAGGAAATCTGCCATAAGTGTGCCTGTGTAATTCTAGAAACAATTAAGAACAAACAGCAAATATAAACAGTCTCCCACTGCTCCAGCCCCTGAAATAGATCTTAAGCTTTTACTTTTCTTTTTTTTCCCCCCATCTGCCACATGACCAAGAATATTTTCGGGATTTCTTTTTCATTCAAGTGTCGTTTTCTGCCAGGGTACGTGAAGATATCCAGGCAATGACAGTGGTGCTACGTACACATCTCAAGACTTAAAGAGCACCTTCTTATCACTCCAATAATCTTAGGGTATGCTATGGGGATTTTGATGCTAATATGTCTTTCATATTGCATCAACCCAAAAGTATAAAAATACTGAATGTCATAAAATGTATCATTAACATCAAAGCAAAACTGCTCTGCTCAGTAAAGCTGGGAAGTTCAAAACAGTTATATTTTTTGTAAACATTTCATAATAAGGAAAACCTTAAAAGTTCCTCGACGTTTCAAGTTGGGGTTTTCCCTAGTGTCTCCTGATATGCAATGAATCTTCTCAAATTCATCTTCACATTGTCAAGAACACACAGCTGATCTGTACTATATTGTCCTTTGCCTTCTTTTCGCATCTGTAAAACCAAAAGAATATATGGTTTACTAATGGAGAACTTTCTCCTGCTAGGTCACCTCAGGTTTACACCTACCAAGAAATGCTACCTGTGGGGCTTGTTAGAACTCCAAGGTGTTCCTGTGTGTACACGTGGAGCTTAGCAATTATTTCTGCAAGTCAATTTACTATAATACATTGCTGCCTAAAACTAGATTAATGACACATTATTTCAGCCACAAATCTGAGACATACACTTTTCTGTGTTTTTTTACATGGAAAACCTTGTACATTCAATTTAACAATTGAAGCACCATCAGGTATGTACTTTGTGTGTACAATGCTTAGCTTTTAGCACTCCTCTGCATCTGACCAAAGAAACAACTTTTATGAGGTCGTTCTCTGTTTAAATCTAGGATGTACCTAAAATTACAGTTTAGAACACCAGCCTTGTTATTGTTGAAAATATAGGATACATGGACTGTTTTAATTAACCAAGAATGGAACAAAAACATCCAACTGAAACTACAAGTTAAAAACCAAAGATGTCAGCGTAACTTCAGAAAGGACTTTTCTCCCACCTCCAGAGACATCTGCAGGATTTTTTGTACAAATGTCTCAGAACAATACAGTGATTTGGATATCAGTAATACCGATGGTGTAATGCTGATGTTGCAATGCAGGTGCTGCACTGTTACCTTGACACTTCCATGAACTTTAAGGTAAGTGTATTTGCTTTCTTCTAAAGTGGAGTATCAGAAAATCAAACACATTTTTCTGTCATCTTATAAATTAATTATCTCTTCTAGGAGCCCAAAATTCAACCTTTGACCCACTTTGTGTGCTGAGACCCTGAGCTGGCTGCCCTTGATGCCTACCCTCATTCTGAACACTGGCTGAAACTCCTTCAGTGTTGGAAGCAACTTGATCTGTAACGCCGCCTTTTCTGCTTCTTTACCATCTGCAAATACATCAAAAAGTGCATCCAAGGCTTCCCCTGCTACCACAAGAGAAGACTCCTTCATAGCAACCTCAAGAAGAAATTTGCCAATCATCTGCAATAAGAAAGAAGAATTGATTTTTCCAGTAATGCTAAAGAAAATTGAAAGAAACATCAAAATTCTTTTAAGCTTGCAACGCAAAGTTTGCTTTTTCACCTTCAGTGTTTCAGCTGTGTCTTGTCCTTTTGCCAGGACACTGCCAGAAATTCCAAGGATGCTCACCATGTTCACTCTAACACTGGCATTGCTGCTTTGAATACCAGCCTCACACAAAGCCAATAGCTGCTCAGGAGTCATACACTGGTCAGCAAGGGGAAAGGAGAGAAAGAAGGAAAAGAGACACAGTTACGTTTTCATGGAAATTTTGAAATACGACATTTAGACACAGTACTTTTACAGAACTCAGGCAAATTCTTCACATAGAAACAGTCTTAAATTATGAAAACTACACGAATTCTGAAAATGCAATTACTAAGAAATTTAAATTTCCTTTCAACTTGTTTCTTCCAGAACATAATCAAGGCTGACATGAAGTTGAAGGAAAACTTGAAATTTTCACAAATTTATCTAGCTCTTCCAACTTCCAATAACTGCTTCCAACTCATTACAACTTACAGTATAGAAGCTTAGTTTTCAGTTTAAGGCCAGAAAGGACTAGCAGACTATCTAATATTCTGTCCTGTATAACAAACCATTATGACTCATTCCTGTATTCAACTCACTAATTCATATCCAACCAAGATTCAAGGAATACCAGCTTCAACAGGTGACATCAGGAAATAATCCACATTTCTAGGTGCTAATTTTCTAAGTATTTGTCATTATAACTATCTTCTAAAGATACCTGTGGCTTATTGCTATTCTGGTTTTGAAATACTTTTCATTTGCTTACATGGTGAGGAGATGATATATAAAAAATATTCCTGTAAGGTCCATGAAAAACACAGTTAATGCTATTAAATCTGTCCTTCCAGTGTTCACAACTGCTGAAATTTTGAACTAAATTTATACTGTTTTGTTTCAAAAACTTTCCAGCGCAATCTCACAGGAATTTGAACCTACCAGAGCGTTTGAGTTTGAAAGCTTTTACCTGGGAGATGTTCTTTGATGCCATTGTTTGTAGGAGAGCCCTCAAAGCACTGGTTACAGCTTCCAGGAATTCTGTGTCTGTAGGGAGTTCTGTCAGATAATAGAACCCAGAGCCAGAAGTTATACAGTAATATGAGGGACACATGAAGTAAAGAAATACAAATTCCTTAATCCCTTAATTGTTCCTCCAGGTACTACCACAACAGGAAAAGCTAGATTTTTTCAGAGACTGGTCCTTGTAGGTTGTAACCATAGTGATTTGTTTGAATTCAGCATTGACTGCATCTGGAGGTTAGAACACAGCTGGGCCTCCTTTTCAGGCACATCCCTGGTTGAGACACTTGTGTGACCTAACGGACAGTGCCAGCCACTGTCACCAGAACAGCAGCTGAGAACTGGCATCACATGGAGGCCATAATACAGGAACTGAGAAAACTACAGAAGCTGACTGCATACTTTGCCTCCTTTTTGCTGCCTTCTTAAGCAAGCTTTTCAGACACCCAGAACAGTGGGGCTCTTTCCAATTCATATAAAGAACATGTTTTTTCCGGTGGTTTAATAACATTTCAGGAATGTATGACTCAAACTCTGCATTATTCTCGTTTAACTACAAACTCATTGGCAGCAGCCATCACCTTCAATCTACGTTCTGCATTCCTTGAGGCTTTTCATTTTCCTCTAAGGTGTTTATTTTCTAGACCACTCCAGATGCAGAACTTCTTGATTTATGCGTATCTCCTCCCTTCTCATGTAAACAATCAGATCTTTATTCCTCTTTTTTACCCTGTAAACCACAGAATTCCTTCTAACCACATGTTGGTATGTATCAGCTCCATCTGGCAGTTTTCATTACACAGCATTTAAATATTAAAAATGGGCCTGTGCCATTAAATTAATTTTAGCATCCTTAGCTGTCTCCAGATAGCAACTTCTCCAGCTTCATCTGAGAACTTTATATTACAGAGCATGACATGTAGACCCAAAATCTTGGAAGTCCCTCTCTTCAAGCATGAGACATATTTTATGTGAGTTTCCTTGCATATAGGCATTTTCATTTCTGCATTTTAGTTTTCCACACACTGCACTTTCAGTAATAATGCTCCCATGGACCAATCACATCTTTAAAGACATTGAGAAAAAAGTGTGTTTTGCAAGCAGATGCACTTTCAAGCACTAATGCAGTGTCATTTTATACACCACAGCAGAGCACTACGTAAGCTACATCTGTGACTACAAATGGAGACACTTGAAGGAAGGGAAGGAAACTGAGTTTCTTGAGCTTCTAAGAGATGAGAAATGACAAAGCCACACATATGCCAGACTTCAACAGAACTGTCTTAGGGAAAACGTTTTCTGACAGTTTGGAGAATTGGCAGCTTTTCCAGGCTCTAAGAATATCTCTTATTTTTTGAAAATCCATCACCACTGACCTTAAAACAAAGATTATCAGAATAATCTTAAGGAAACAGCCTGTCAGGGACCCACATCTTCAGTTTGGAAACAGGTAGGGTTTTCTTAAACCTTTTTTCATTTTTTTTCCAATCTTGGTTCAGCTTCTCTCATGTCAGTAAGAGAGAGATCATAGCATAAATGATCCAACAGGATTATGGAAATGATGCTGCTCTCATGTATAGGATCACAGAAAGCAGCTGGAAATGCTACCTGCTGTACAGATGATCCAATAACACTGTACTAACAGATGTATGGGGAAACCTTCACAGTATGTCTATGAAATAATGCACCCTGCAGGAACTAGAGTGAAGACATTCCAGCGTTTACCAGGATGTATCACAGAATCTGTGAGGCTGGGAAAGACCTCTGAGATCAGTCCAACCTGTGACTGATCACTGCCATGTCAGCCAGACCCTGGCACTGAGTGCCACATCCAGTCTGTCCTTAAACATCTCCAGGGATGGTGATTCCACAGTCTCCTCAGGCAGCCCATTCCAATGTCTAAATATAGATCTAATATACATACACTTTATATATTCTAAAATAGTATTCTTAGAATAATTAAATTTATTACCTTCTCTGTTGAAATTGAACCACAATCAGAACAGGAAGCTGAGCAGCTTTAACATTTAGTCATAACAACTTTGCACACTTTCTTACTACAAACATACTTCCAATAAATCTAAGCCACCATAAGCATAAAGCATGCCCTGGGGACAAGGTGGCTGCTCTCTTTCCAACTGTAATAGGCATGGACACTCTTGAGATTTTTGCACCAACCACTTTTGCCATAATTTGGTAAAATTACTAGAAAAAAAATGATGTGAAAGACTGTGCTAGACATGTTTGTTTTCACATATCCTTAGACTAGCTAGGACATTTAAAAATAAAGTGTCCTATCTTCTTCATGCTTGTCTGATTGCTGAAAAAGTTATTACTACAAATACGATCAAGCAAACAGTTCTGGTCTCCCAACAAGGCATTGTGAATCCACTAAGAGACTTTCTGCATAGACCCAAAAGTGAAGCAGATTCTTACACTACAAACAGACTTGCTCAAGGTGCAGTTTGGATAACCACATTTTAACATCTTATATCTAGATTATCAGCAAAGGGGATCAAGCCAAATCCCCTTTACTAAACATCTTACCTGTTTTAGAAAAGATCAGCTGTGAGAGATGCTGTGCAAGGGACTGAAGTGCTGAAGCTCCCCCAAGACAATCCACATCTGACACCAACAAAATGCTCTGAAGACATGTTAAAGCTCTACACTGCACTGCATTCAGTCTGAAACAAACAAAAACCACACTGTACAGGTATTTTTGAAAACACCTGTTGTAATACAATGAGGAGACTTGAATTTAATAAGGCTGTGATCCAGTATGCAGTTCACAAAATCATTTGTATCTCTTTATTCAAAATCATATATCAGATTGCCAGTTTCCAGATCTTAAGAGCAGCCCAAGATGAGCAATTCTTCTAAGAGCTCTAAAACAACTGAATATACAGGAAAAATAATAAGAGAGACAATGAAATGCCTACTTTTTAATTAATGGTTTCCAAGACGAATTGCGCATACAGATGTCTAGAGCAACACTGTTCGGAAAAGCAGTTTTTTCAAGAATCTGGGGAGGGGGAAAAAGAAAAGTTTAGCAATAAAGCCATTTTTTCTTTTTTTTTTTTTAATAGTCTGTTCAGAGGGAAGACTGAAATTTTAGCTTAATGTCAAACAGATACTTCAAACTATGTATCTCAAAGTTTTCCAGATAGCAAATATCTCACCTGCTAAAAATGCCAGAATTTTCCTCAATCACTTAAATGGTGCAATTATACATTGGGTTTAGCACAGCGTATTTTAAGTGTTCAATTGTACTAACAAGAAGTGATTTTCTGGGTCTCTGCTATTCTCTTATTTAGCTCTTTCTTCTTATAGATTCTGCTCCAGGATTTTAAGATAGCTGCAAGTCTGGAAGGCCTTGCCATGAAACTCTGTCTATTAAGTACAAAAAGCCTTCAAAGTTTTCACCTCGCACCTTGATGTCTTAGCTCAGAATTCTATGATGCTGCTGAACTAGCACAGTAATTGATTCAAATAATAAACTTCGCCTTTACAACCTCAAATAAAAATGAGCAAAACAGCTCTGAAACAAAAACATCTAATTTCCTGTCAGTGCCAAATACTGTATTTCAGACACTTGGTATAAAGAGGGAGAGAGGAACTTGCACTTTTTCAGTGCTGAGTGTTGCCATTCATTAACGTTACTTCCACCTCATTTAGCTAATACAGAAATCTGGCTGTCACGCTTCAGCCAAGCTTCCTTTCTTTTTGGGGGTAGTCTTTTTCATGTCCAAATCAAGGAATAACAACCTTTGTATTTTGGGAAAAAGCCCCCCAAAAATTTAAAAAGCCCTACCAGATTTCTGAAACACATGACCCTTCTCACTTACATGAGGAAATTATTTAGGTCATGCAATGATGCACCACCTCTAGTCCAAAAACGTGAGGCCAAACTCATTTTAAAAAATACTCCCTTCAGGTGGATTGGGATAATTTGTTTGCCTAACCTGGGACACAAAGCAGAAACAAGGGAAAGACTGTACCATGTGTAGGAAACACTACCTTCTTTGGAATGAGGTTGTTCAGAAATGCTGAGTTAACCTCATCAGAGAGGCACAGGGGTGACAGCAGCAGCCCACTCCCCTCGTTGTACGAGTTTTCCATGAACAAGTCACTCTCATCACTGCTGGAGTGTTCTTCCCACTCGTCATCGGAGGGATCTGAAACAAGACAGACTTGTAAATGTAACAGCCCTCATGGAACAGGTTTAGTACTTTCCAACTGAAATTGGCTCCTCCAAACTTCTTGGTTTAGGAATCTTTAAGCTCTTGGACTCTACAAACTCCTCACAAACCAAGTGCTATTAAGCCACAGTTCTAAATACTTTATAAAAAATATTTTATACTCACTGAGGCACAAATATTTTTATGAGAGACCTTCTTTAGACACATGTTCATCGCTGATATTAACAATGTGTCGTTTAAAAATATCAAAAAAAGGTATAGAAGAAACATTACGTAAAGATCTACAAAGATTTTAACTTTGATTGTACCACTCCACTTTCTGAGGTTGATTCAAGCATGCAAATACACCAGTTTAACTTAACTTGTCTACAATAACTGCAGTCAGTTTAAGGCAATTGTTGCCTCTGGCAATATTGAAGTCGCAGGCAGATGTCCTCTGCCTGGATGAAGATGTTACTGTCTCCACAGCAAGGTCAGTTGAAACAAAATGATGACAGCAAAGAAAGACAAATAATCTCTGATAGCCATTTCAGGCAACACATTTCACATAAATTAAACTAGGTTTAAAATCTTAACCCTGAACTAGGCCATACTTACATGACTTATTCCACTAGCAGATCTTTAAGGGAGGATATGGTGAGAGGAGTCAAAGTCCTATTACCAACAGGCTACTGTGTGAATAATCTGTCCACAGCTGGAGGGGGACTTGGGCTGACAAGCACAAACTATAATCATCCTCATTTATATAAAACTCATATATCTACATCCACAGAGTTCACACTCATTCAGCTGAAGTTTCTTTAAATCTGGTTACATTTTAACTAGTGTTTGCCCAAGTCCTAAGTCTACAGGTTGGACTAATCCTCCTTTCCAATAGATGAAAGCTCTGTGTACATAGGTCAGGATATTTAACTATTGTGACAAAAAAATACCATATTCACCCCCAAGTAATTTTGTTTGACAACACAGATTCTCCTAAGATGTAGGGCCTGTAGTAACTACAGCAACAGCCATGCATTTCTGTGGCAAAAGGTAAATTCACAAAAATACAGCAAGAAAGATCCAAATGAATGCATTTCACTTGTACTGTGCAAGTTTAAGAATTTATTGAAGATGATGATTATGGTTTATCTCATCTAAAGTAATTTATCAAGGTGTAGCAACTTGATCACACAGACAACTCATGGTAATATTCAATTAATTCTACAGCCTTTGCATGAGAAAATGGTTGTCCTTCATGCTTTATCAAACTATGGCAGCAAAAACCATGAAAATAAAGCAGACATCCCCTTTTCAGTCCCTCGCCTCTTCTAAAAAATTCCTTTTGCATCTTTAGAAAACAAAGAAAGCAAAAAAATAATCCTTGAAAACTAATTGATAACAATACAAGCTGACAATGCAATTCAGCAATAACAAAGACAGCAGTTGTCATAATTTGACAGTGAGTGACCAGGGCAGAGCAGGAACTGGGATCTAGAACTCTGGCCCATAACTGATCAGGTTTCTCATAATGTTCTGGGAAAGACAAAGGCATTTCCAGCAGCAATCCCATTTTACCTAGCACTGGTAACCCAAGAACTACAGACTGGACAGCAGTGTTGGAGTCTCCTGGCTTCTTGCCCAGGTGCCCATCAAAGGGGAGCACTCTGCTGCTTCCATACACTGGCCAGTGCTCAGTAAAACACATCCAGCCCGGTAATTTCACTCAGTTCTCTTGCAAGCTGGGTGTTTTTATGAACTCAGCATAATGGCTAAAGCTATTTTAGTCCTCAAATAATTTGAAAATTAAATGAACAGCTGCCTCTGGATTCCTCTTAATTTCTAGAGACTGTCTGCCCATGAATGGATAAAGTACTGTAGTGAAATACAACACAATCAATCTTACATTACACTGAGTGAATGGCAGAATATGCAGCTTATCCACATGAGATTTTCCAATTAAAGGGAAAGCTTATGGATTACAGCTCATTAGATGAGAAATGCAGTTATGAAAGGAGCTTCATACACTAGGTGCAGAATTTCCTTGTGCTGTAAGAGAAAAGAAAAGTCACCATTGGGAATAACTGGGTATTACTGTGAATTTTATTAGAACCTGAAAGTTTTACTCAGTTACTTTCTACACAATTACTCCTGCATCAGGCTAAAACTACAATAGCAAAGTTTCAGGTTTTGGAGGGTTTAGGGGATTAGTTTTGTTTGTTGGCTTTTTAAAACAGAATTTGATAATCTTTCATTTGTTTTCCTGAAGATTAGAAGAAAGCTATCAAAACGCAGTTTCACAGTTCATAAAAGATACAGAATATCCTACTGCTCTCCAAATAACAGCCTCTCTTTCTCTTTCTCCTCCTCCTCAAGGGTCAAAAAGGCAGAATTCTGGAAGCCGAGATCTACATTGTTACCAGAGCTGCATGCAAAAGCTGTCCCTACTCCTAATTTTGCAACACTTGTGGTACCAAAACTAAAACAACCAAAGCTACAAGATTTATCGACTTTAAAAAAATTGATGCCCCTATCTTGCATCAAAAAAACAGTCAGACCACACTCTAATTGAACAAAGATTTTGCTGTAACACTTTAGGAAATATCTCTCTGGTGTGAGTGCTTTTTTGTTTGTTCTTAAGTGTTGGCACATTGAGGATCACACAAAAAAAACCCAAAAACTTAAGCAATGTAACTCACTGAAATGAAGAAAAAACATTTAAATTAGTAAGAGAAATGACAACCTACTTTGCCCCTGGATGAGGATATCAGGGACAATATGCCCATGGGTGTTTGCCCTTAAAAACACAGATGACCAAACAGCAAACTAAATGTGACCTATTCAGAGACAAAACACACGATAACATTTGCAATGAATGAGACTCCTACAAACCTTCACTGCAGCACATATTAACAATGATTTCCAGAGCAGTCTGCTGAGCCGTCAGTAAAGCTGTCACTTCTTTCAGTTCCCACTTATCAGACTAAAAAATTAAAAACATGAACCAAATTTGATTTTGGAAAACAACATTCAAGTGCCATTTAAAGTATCCAAGCTGTCAGTTAAAAATACAGTCCATCCATTTCCTCTTCTCAGTCTACACCCAAACTTGATTAAAAAAAAAAAACCCAAAACAAACCCAAGCAGTGCTATCTACCATCTTTCTGTTGAACGTTCCAGAGAAAATTTTATTCTCAAGGAATGTCACTTGCACTAAAGCTGTTCAAAAGCCAGTCAGAGCCACACTTACTGGAAGTAAATCCGAAATGTCATTTTCTCTTCCGACTTTTCCTTTTGGTATTTCTTCCATGTTATCATCTTCCCCCAAAACACAGTTTTCTGCAGTATCACCCATGTTTTCCTCAGTTTCTGCTTCCACAACAAGTTTTAACCTATTTTTTTCAGCTTCACTCATACGAATAATTGTTTCACCGGCATCCATTGCCAATGATTCTGAAAATATCTTCAGGATTGCATTAACTGTGCTTCCCAGGCTGCCTGGTGGAATGGTATCCTTTATATTCCAGATAGTGCCTAAATATGAGGTAAACAAATTATATAAATTATTAAAGTGCTCAATTCCCAGCTCTGTAATAGCCATTTTGCAAGGACATGACCTCTACTACTTAAAATACTCTGTGCTTATATTCACTATAAATGTTTCAAGTCTTTTCTCTACAGATTTCTATTTTTCTTTTGTATAATATTTCATATACTCATCTGTAATAATTGTTATGCCCACATCTTAAGCTCAAGTAAATTTCATAATGTAAATACTTAGATGCTTATTCAGCATGCATATTTAAGAATATTTATGTGGAATAACCTTGGTGTCACTCTGTATCTGAGATAACAAATCCACGAGAATTATTTTCTAAGGAGTTTCAAAATTAATTTCTAACACTCCAGTATCAAAAATCATCATGGTTAAGCATTTGAGGTAACAAGAAGAATTCAAGGTAGAGAATCTGAGGTTAAAAAAAATCTACAGCTAGTGAGATCAAAACAACTCCTTATTGACAAAACAACTTATTATTGACAAATTTAACTGTTAAAAACTAAATGAGTAGTTAAAAGTGGGCTATCACACTGAGCGGGGGGTGAATTCAGAATCAAGCATTTAAGCCAGTTTTAAAACTAGTTGCAAATACCTACTTGCAGTTCCAAAAGGCAGATCTAACCTCACAAACCCATCTGTACAGGCCTCGACAATCAGACGTCCAGACCACAGCAGAGAAGACTAAGTCTTCTGTCCTTCCCAGCCTCCTTTACCTGCCATGCTCCCCATCTCACAGCAATGAACCCCTCTGAGCACTGTACCTGCTATCAGTGTTCTCAGAAGGATGTGCTTCATGGTGCTCTCTGGACACAACATCACTGTTTCCAGTATTTGTTGTGCAGAAGCATTAAACGAAGAAAGAAGATCTGGATTATCTTCTGTCACTGCCTGCAAGCAGTTTGCTGCAGCAAACAAGAGCAGACAATTAACAAACCCAGTAGTAGCTTTTGCTCTGCTAATGAGAAAGTATTATCTGCCTGAAAGCTGAAGTAATGAAATGCTGACACAGGAAAAAAATTTCATGCAGCATCATGTTGTAATGGCCTGACACTGTCCTTTACAAGCTGTATTTTGAATTAAAAGACATTCTGTGGCAAACCCATTCATAAACCAGGCAAGGACAATACCACATCAGCCATGGAATTGGTTGTATTAATTTCAGCTACCCAAATTTATCCATTGTATACTGACAATGGACAACATAAAAAAATGCTGGAAGCACACACACCTGTATGACCATTATGAAACTATAATAACAACAATACTGATAAAACCAGATTGAAAGTGATTGGAATTGTTTGGGTTTTTTTAGAAGGATTATCTCCTCTGCTCAACAAATTAAACCCTCTGTTACCAGAACATGAAAACAAAATGAATAACACAGCCTCCCTCTAAAGCCCTCTTCCCACAACATTTTTCTTCCCATGTAACCACCAATAAGCCATTCAGTTTTGGACTGAAAACAAGCACAACAGATGTCAACTTCTTTATTATGTGCTGCTCAAAAATGAATTTAAAGCTTTATACTGATCACAAAGATAAGCGATGCTAAAGCAGGTCCGTTATGCAATGAATGTATTATCAGTGTTACATTCATATAGTTAAAAACATATTCTCTTTTTACCACTCTTTTATCTCTTATCTTCTCTTTTTACCACTTACCTACTGAAATAGCCAGATCCACATTTGTGGCGAATTTCTTCATGTAATGTAACACAGCCTCCAGACATCCCTCTTTATTGAAAATATATAGGGCAGTATTGTTGCATTCACTGATATATGGAAAACATCAGTCAAACATTTTTCCAGGAAAAAAAAGTACTCTAGCAACATCTTAAGCACCCCATCCTTGTTATTACTCACATTTTCAAAAGATACCTAAGAATCATGCACTAGTCAAAGAGCTATCCTTCATTATCGAGGTTACGATCAGCTCTATACTGCTAAAAGAGAAGATGCAAAAGCCTGGACACTTTTGAGGAAAGCTGGCTTGTGCCAGCTGCTTCCTCACACAGTGTTTGGAGTTCGTTTGGGAACCTAACCACAGGCTCCTGTTGGAGTGTGGAAGGCAGCTCAGAGCTGTGGGCTGCAAGCCAGCCTAGGGCTTCCTGCAGCCACAGGAGACTTCACCCACAAACCCACTGCCAGCAGAGCAGGCTGCAGCCTCTCACAGCAGTGCTCACTCACTCCACAAAATGACTGCTCTTACCATTCAGAAGTGCATTTACTTTCATTACCTAGTAGTAGGATTTGTATTTCTTCAAGTTCTCACAGCTACTCTCCCTTTTAAATTGATATATTGATACAAGACTAATTCAAACCAAAAAAAGCACAAGCGCTAAACTAACTACAAGGGTCTTCAAAAAATTAATTTTGAAAATGTTATGTCTCAGCATCAATGCCAGCCCTAATGTTATCAGTATCAAACTTAGCAACAAAATGAGAAGTTCACATTCATTGCCACAAAGAGCAAAATACAGAAGTGATTTACATCACACCTAATGATACTTCCTGTTCTCAAGCACTGACTAAAAAGAAAAAAAAAAAAAGAACACATAACATTGCTGAGTCAGAGTTACAAAGGGTCATGTATTCTGTGCAAGATGCTGAACAAGGGCTTTATCTAATTGTTCTAGATTCCAATTCCTAAAATATAAATATCCCAGTTTAGAAATAAGGTCTCAAGCCAGCAGCCATATCACACAGACAGGCATACAGGCAGGTCCACTGAGGCACTGCACAGCACTCAACAAAATCCTGTACGCAATGTGTATAACGTGAGAAAAAATTAAGAGAAGCAACAAAGTTCAAGGAGAACTTTGGAACAAATTTCTATCACTTCAATGTTTATAGTCTTTTTTGTATTCATAGTGTTGCCATTTGTCTTCCTTCACTAGTGTTTCCAATGTAAACTACTAAGAGAACAATTTACATTGTTTTCTCACATAATAAACTTCTATTAGTGTTTCAGTAACTAAGGAATAGTTGCCCCAAACAGTTAATATTAATTTTTGGGATGACCTGCAGAGGGAGGAAGTAGTATAAAAACTCCTCATATTCATAGAGCACTGATCAGAATTTCATTTTCTCTGTTTCTTGTATCATGACATGGATCTACAAACTGTACAACAGACTACGACAAAACATGTTCAGAAAACAGGATCAGAATTCAGGATGAAGAACTAGTAGAAAAAGAATTTGTGGCTCTTCTAAAACTAATGACCAACTTTCTGCACTTTTAGAATCTTTCACTTAAAAAAAAAAGTAAACTATACCAGAAGATAAATTTTTATTTCCTATGAGATGAGGGCTCACCATTTTTAAAGCAAGGTACAAGTAGGAGCAACACAATCAGAATCAGCAAATGAATGCATCTTCCCATGCCAGGACAGTCATTTCTTTTCTGCCTCAATTACCATGCTCTTTTTCAGGAACAATTTAATTTAGCTAAAATGCCAGTGTTTACACAGCACTTACCATATATTCCACAGCAAATTAATAGCCTCATTGGCTATGTCTTCAATATAATTTTTGTTCATCCCTCTGCATTTCTTTGGAGAGAGCTCGTTAGCATCCAGTCCAGTGCTGAACTACAACCAAACAAAAGAACCAGGGCTGGGAAACAATCAAGCCACAAAGAAAAGCAAAACTTTAAAGTATTATCAGCACTGAGTGGAGAGATCCCCTCATGAAGTGTTTATTACCAGAACACCTGTCCAGTTTCCTTTCTTTATGAAAACTTAAACCATTGATAACTTTTCTCTTGTAGAAAGATTCTTACAGTACTTGCTTTGCAGTTAGTCTTTAGAAGCACTTTCTCATTTAAAAAAATAGTTGGGAATTTTAGAACCTGAAGTGTGCTGTTTCTTGTTAACACTGTGTATGTAGCTGTCAACAGTTGTTTCTAACTACAAAGATTAACTCACTAATACCTTACTGTGCTTTATAGCAATGCTATTATTCACATTTTAAAATGGGGAAGAAACATACAGAAAGTGATGATATTGCTCAAGGTTGCTCATACAAAGACAACAGGTAAGAGAAATCAATGCAAATTCCAAACTGCAGTGCAACACCTGGACCAAAGAAAGAATACAAATTCAGTACAGGTTATTCTGTAGTAACTACCCAGCTGTACATCCAAACATCCATTTAGACAAAATTGCTCACCAGAAAAACCTCACTTGAATAACACTGCAACATAAATGAGGACCTGCATTCTCACTGACAGAATAAACTTGTCTTAACTGACATTACAGACCCAAAATCTCCAGACCTTTCACTCAAAAATCATCCTAGGCAGCAAACCTCACCATGGACAAAAGCTAGCTGGCCAGGAGCCAGAAGGTAGTGGTTAGAAATCTCTGGAACAACTTTTGTATCACTAAACCTATGGAAATATTCTTTCAAAAGATCTTTCAAGTATCTTATTGTAATAATAGCTACAAAAAAAGAACTGTGTTTATATATAGAACAATTCAATGCCTAGACCAGATTTAAAATCAAAATAAAAATAAACACACCTCTTTCAGAAGTGCAACCAGGGGTGTCATGATATCGTTTGTCACCATGTCATCACAGACATCAAATCCTCCACAAGCACTCAGATTTCTGGGGAAAACAAAAAATTTAACACTTCAGATGAGATATAATACTTTCCAAGAATGTTTCAAAAATCCCCATGCCTTTGATATTCTTCTCTAAAGGTTATGCTACTTTTTGTTTTAAATTCAATTTGCTTAAACAGCAGCTTTAATCTTCTACCTCACAAACATAAGAGAATAACTTTAGTGTTAGAAAAAAAATATGATTTTTTATTTATTCATCATGCATAATTAGAAAGCTTACCTGTACAAAAACATCATGACACAAAATGCCATACAAACTGTACTTAAGTTCTATTTCCTCATAAAGCCATACATTTCTAGCATAAAGCCTACTCCTGACATTCAAGTCTCACAGAGCAAGAAAAGCCCCTCTCTCACAGACCTCAGCTGACGTGGGCATAGTTCCTCAGACCAGAAATAAAGCAAGGGAGGCTGGCACTCAAGTTCACAGCTGTCACCAGGAGAACCCCAGAGCTTCTCCCCCAGTGCCAGGATCCCCTGATTCTACCAGAGCAGTACCAAGAGCTTACCGGAGAGCACCTGCAGCTGTTTCCCGCACAGCTAAGCTGTGATCCATGAGCAAGGGCCCCAAACAGCGCACCACGTCCCTCTGCACAAAGGCTGGGATGACGTGCTTCTGCTGCAACAGCTTGGAAATACTGGCACAGGCATACTCCCTCACCTCAGCACTTGGATGCTGCAGCTGCAGAGACACACATAGGGCACAGCACAGTGAGGGAGAAGGGAGCTGGAAAGTTTGACTGAGTGAAAAGGGCCAGCACTGTGGCTCCCATTTTATTTCTGGAGCCACATGGAGCTTTTAACTTCCATGAAAGCTTATAAATCCTTGCCTAGGTTATGTGTGTTAACTTTATGGCTAGGTAAATGCTATTCTAGATATTTGATAAGACAGCCATAGTCGAGACAGAGATTTGACACTAGCTGGCAGTGGTGAGACCTCAATTAATTACCATATAGTAAAAGACAGACTGAAGTGGGGGGGAGAAAATATCATCAATGAAGAACGAAGTATAACAGACATAACACATGCCACCATAAAGAAAAGCTGAAGAAACATAAAGAAACAAAACCAGAATTATAGCCCGTAAATTAAAAGCATCTACATAACAGTAAGAAACAAGTGTTCCTTACATTCCCCAAGGCAATGTTGACTTGAGCTGTAACAGAGTGTTAGGTGAGATACAAGAATTGCAAATTGCAAAAATAGTAACACAGCAGAAGTGCATATCCTGGCAGGCCAGAGATTTTGTTGAGAACCTGGCAGATTAACATCTGCTGAAAAGCAGAACAGAACAGTGGTAACATCAGATCCTGTCTCCATTGGAAAAGGTGTCTAAGCTCATCCTCACCTGCGCCTTTATTTACTCTCTCTTCCCCTCTCTCTCTCCTAAACAGGTTAGCCCACAAGAATAATCAATCAGTGATCGGTTAAATGAATTAAGTTGGGTGAAGTGAACAAAGGGGAATTACTTAAAGGAAAACAAATTTCTGCTCCTGATTCTAAAGTCACACCTGCAGGAAATTTACATCAGTTTTCGTTTCCAACACTTAACCCATGACTATGGCATACAAGTGGCCAAACCCAGTCTTTTTCAGCATTTTCCATGCATTGTTCATCGCGTGTGGCTCTTGGACTTTTGGCTCTGGCCACCTGTAGAAGTCTGCGGGCCGGGAGGCCGAAGGCAAGCCCCGCAAGGACGAGGGGCACGGAGCTGCCGCCCCGCCGCAGCAGCGCACGGGAGCGCGGGCGGGGCCGGTGCCGGTGCCGCCCCGCGCGGCCGTGACGCCGGCGGCGCGACAGGGAGCGAGGAGCGGCCCCGCGCGGCCGCTCGGCTCCTTCCCGCCGGGGGCGGCACCGCGCCCGCGCCCTCGCCCGGCACGGCCGCGGGGGGAGCGGAGGCCTCGCCCCCCACGCCCGGCCCCGCAGCCCCCGCCGCTCCCCCGCTCCGGAGCGGGTTAGCGCCGAGCCCGCCCGCCCCCGCCCGCACCTTCTCCAGCAGCTCCGCCGCCGCCTCCTCCTCGGGGCCGCGCTCCAGCTCGGGGCCGGCGGGGGCTCGGGGCGCCCTGCGGAACCGCCGCGCCCGACTCTTGCCCATGGCTGCTCGGCGCCGGCGCGCCCACGTGTGCGGCCCCGCGCAGGCGCCGCGCCCGCCCCGCTCCGCACACCCCGCCCTGCCGCGCACCCGCGCTCACACCCACCCCGGCACCGCAGCATCCCGCACCGAGGGGACACCGCGCCTGCTGCGCTCCAACAAGAACATCACCAACAGAAACAATTTCCTCTAAGGGCACTTACAGAGGCGGGATTGACCTGGAGCATGGAAACCTGGAAGGGGTTTCCTCTCTGGTGTCAGTATCTTAGATTTTAAGAACCACATCAAATACAGGAAATGTTGGTCCGGTAAGAAAGCTACAGAATGCAGCTATAAATTTTCTCAAGTTCTTCTGTGTTCAGTGGAGATCTGTATTTGCACAGTACAAAAGAAGATAACACCTGTTTATACAAAGATTTTATTTTATACACATTTACCTACAAAATATACAGCAGTTAAAAATAATGGATGGGCAGAAGATTTACTGGAAAAAAATCCAGAAGACAATTCTTAAAGTTTTAACGGACAAAGTTACATCAATAGGCTGCCTTTAAAAGCCAGTCTACCCTGTCTGTAGTAGGGGTTATTGAAGTTCCAAGAGCTTTGCAGTTAGAATCAATTTAAAGAATTCAAAACATTTAAAAAGGCACCTTGAACAACTTAAACTCTTAAAACTTGACAGTTTTAGCTATTCAAAAGTTACACTTCATGCATATATTATCCACACCTTGTTGTTAACACTCTGAATAACAAGTTTTGTTATTTTATTGTGGCACCCTTTAGATTTTCTTCACCAAATCTGAAGTTATACATTTGAAATATGAGTTTCATGTTCTGACTATCACAGCATAAAAATCCACTCAGAATGGTCGGGTGGATTTAGATACAGTACAACCTTACAACTGGGAAGATACAAGTATATTTAAGACAATTTTTAAAAAATTAAAATCTTAAAATAAGTTTTGAACCAGATCAAACAAGGAACTATGTATGACCACAAGGAAAGTGGCTGGTGCACTATATACACAACTTGACAAATATGATCCTTGATATATTTACGAAGTTCTTAAACAGTAAGACCAGTTTTCTCCGGCACAAACAGTCAGTCTTCCTGCGAGCCTTTAAACCAGTTCCAAAAAGAGTGACCAGGAGACAAGGACAGCTGTAATGAGGAAGTGTGCTAATAAAACATCAGGAGAATGGCAAACGTTCCTTTCAATACTCTCCACGCGAACAAGAAAATCCATACACCAGATATTACTTTTTTTCCTGAACATTGGCATCGATCTGCTATTTACAATAGCTTACAAAGACAACACAAATGAGGTTTCATTTTCAAGTTCAACTTCATCGCCGATTAACATACTTCACCTGTATGTTCTGTTCTAGCTGAAGTAAAAAAGTGACACTAATACTGAAAAAGAGGTAATCAGAAGTAGCAAAAGCACTGATAATGTGATAACAAAGAATTTGGATAAATACTCAAGGAAGTAATATTGCACACTTTCACTGTCAACTGTGTTAAGACTTTTACTCCCAGGCAGTGACAACCAGTCCCATTTGATTTTTTGCTATCATACTACCTTAAAAAAGGTCATTTTTGGTTTCCATGGCAGTGGAAAAAAAATGAAGGAAGACAGCCCTTATTGAACATGAGGCCTAGGTTTCAATATTAATTTTCCAGTCTGCAAGAGAGAAAACAAAATAAATAAAGTTTAAACACAGAAAGTTGATCCCAACAATTACACTTCAAGTTCAATGTTACAGGGAGAATTTAAAACAACACACAAAATGATACTAAGTATTCCACATGCCAGTTTTTACAGACACACAGAATTTGCTGAGGTATGTACAAATGCTGCTCAGAAAAACAAACGCATCTTTTTGAATTATTTCTTTTTTTTTTTTTTTTAAACAAACAAGGTTTAGGCAATGAAGCACTAACACTTACATCATCACAGGACATATTATATTCTGCCAAAACAGTTCGACATCGGGCTGCTATACTGTGTGGATTGTGTCAAGGAAAGCAGCTAATACTTCTACACACAAATAAGTAAAAACTAAAAAAGCAGCATAGGCTTCAACAACTGCAGTAACTACACTTTTAACGTGACAAACATTATCAAAGGATACATTGATGGTGCCACCACTCTTTTATGTATTCCAGCAAAGAACAAGCCTATTAGGGTAATACAGCTAATTGTGAAAAATGGGTGATTCCAAAGTGACGTGAAAAATGATACCTAGAAAAGAAATCAGATTAGTCCAACTGCATACTTTCTAGAACACACAAAGTCACTGCATAGATCGCTTAACTAAAAATAAAATACTCCTCCTAGCCATTTCCAAGTACTTGTGAACAATTCTTTAGATAAGCCTTCAGAGCAAAGTATTTTGGCAGGCATTGTCCCAGGACACATTCCACAACAATTCCAGACAGCTTGATAGCTTTACTAAAAATCACCTCCCAGTTTCATGTGAGAATGTGTTTAGCCTTTCAGTTTTCAATACACCACTGCAGCACCAAGCTATGGAACACTGCACATTTGGCATTAGCCTGACCTTACCTTTTGTGTCTCTGGGTCTATCAACCAGTTCCAAGCCCCAGTTGCTGTGCAGACTGATACCACTATCAAAATCACTGATGAAGAAAAGAATGAGAGTCATAAACAATAAACTTCACTCATATTTAAATGCATTTATTTTTCAGCAGCAACTCTTAAAGACTTCTTTCTTTTCTCACTTCTGAGTGAGGAAAAGCTCCTAATTGGAAAGCAGAAATGAAAATATGCAAATAAACTTCTAATATGTGAAACTTTAAGGATTCTGTACAAACTTTAGGGATAGAACAAGTACATCTGAAAATCTAAATTCTGTCAAGTAAAAACAACCTGGTCCTTTGAAGAAACCAAAGTTATCTTTTCAAAAGGAAGGTGAAAAAGCTATCAAAAGCATAGAGCTTCTTCTCTACATCATACAAATACTTTATTTTCAGGGTAATAGGAAGAAAAGTTAACATTGGTTACACACCCCATTATAATTAAAATAGAAAGTCCCTCTTTTATGTGAAATACAAAACAAGTAATTTGGGAAAAAACATGAGCCACTGAATACAATACTAGTTATGCAAACCTCATTTAAATATGCTTAAAAGTTCTCAGTATTTTGTTTTAAATTATAACTGACAGGATTTTGGAAGCCAAATACATTCCTAAAGTAAGTGTGTGCAAACTCAGCAGAACTACAAATAAATATGTGCTTGGTCTGAAACATGCGAATTGAGGTGATGGTGGTGTTTGGTTTTGCTTTCTAAGTAGTCAATTCATTCAGTTCCTTCATTCAAAATTGACCTCTCAGGAGAAAAGATACTATTTTATGTGTTCTAAAAGAAAGTCTGTACTCTTTGAGTACGAAAACTTCAGCAGAGTCTCAAAAACAAAACAAAACAAAAAAAAGTTGTGTGATTCCACCACAGACCACTGATCACAAAGCTGGCAGCATATCTGTGGAATTTTTGTCTTCCCCTTCCTTCAAACCCTCCTGTCATAACAGAGCAGCCTTTATAATACACTGCTGTAACTTTTTCACCTTCAATTTTATAAGGACTATCTCACCTGATCATATTTTGTTTAAGTAACTACAGCAACTGTCTGGGAAGTCTGAGTCTTGAAGAAAAAAAACAGAAACAAACACAACTTATTGTTTCAGATATTTCCAGAATAATCCAGTCTTGAGCCAATTCAATCCTAACCTCATTTTTCTAACTAAATATTATCCTGTATTAACTTGTTGCGGAGTTTTTGAATGTATGCCACAAATTTTCAAGTCTAAATACAAATTTTTCTTTGGGCAAACTTAAATAAAGGATACACACTGGTAAATCTAACAGGCTTGAAAGACAGACTCCTATTTATTCCTTGGAACATCAAACTTACTTCTCCAACGTCCTGTAGCTGGTTGCAAACATGCAATGTATTCAGTAAGTCTTCTTTCAAAGGCTTTGAGATCTGAGGAAGATGCATATCAAGCATAATTAGATCTTCATCTATTTAATCATATTTTAAAATAGAAGATAAAAAGAATTCACTTTTCCCCCCATCCACACCCAGTTCTTAAAAAGGCAGAGAAAACCAATAATCCTTGATAAGAAGTAAAAATCCAGTCATAGTAGCTGTACCAAACTTCAGGTAAAAAATAAAGGGGTGGAGTTAATCTAAAAAAACCCATTCCCATTTACAAAAAAGAAAACTCAGTAGAGCTGAGAAATCACACTATTTCACACATCTTTGGAAATAGTAACTTTAATGGCCTCTCAAAACAAAACAAACCAAAAAAGAGTATCACATTTTGAAGTACTATGTATATCAGGAAACCATTACATTCTACTATCAATATAATGGCAATTTTTAAAAAAAGGTTGGCCATTTGCCACTGCTCAAGGGATTATTTGTAGCAGTGTGACTTTGATGACCTTGTTTTGTAGAAACTTTCAGAGTTATGATATATGCAAAAAATCACACATATGCAAACACTACTCCAGTGATCTTATTCCAAACATTATTTTTTCAAAACAGATCTTTCTTTTCTACTGCCATCGTTCTCCCATGGTCTTTCCACTGAAATTGGTGTTAAATCCATTTCAAGTTGATAATCCTAAATTGTCTCCAAGGAGCTGTTTCACCTTAAGCCCAGGTTAGATCTACAATTCTGTTCAACAAGGTCAATATTTGATAACATTCCAGTTAAAGCTAGAATTCTACCTGGAGTTAAGTTTTAATTAGGATCAACTTAACTTTCAGCTAAAGTCTCTGTCAGCATCAACATGGAACTTCAACTTCTAACTACTGCTACATTAGTCATCACAATAAAGCAGTTAAAAGAATAAGCTTAGAAAAAATAAATCTATTATGATCACTAAGAAAGCAGTTTTTTGCACTGTGAATTTATTCCTAAGTGGTTTGCAAGTGAATTTATGAGAGAAGAGCACAGTATCTTGACTT